CCTACTTGAGGGCTCTGTCTTTTGCTATCTTATCTCACTGCAGGTGTTCAGCTAGTGTTACTGGTCACAATATATACTAAAGTTGCCATGGAAACAGAGGCACAATTAAGGACTGCAAATATGTGACTGAGCTGTTTGAAGCTGGATGTCAGTTTGTGCCAGAAATACAACAAGCGGCTTCAGCATCTATAATGTACATGCAAAGCTTACCTTCTGTGAGTATCTTTACCCCTTTTTTGGTTTACAGGGTGGACAATATTCAAGGGTTTGTACACTATGTGTGTCAGGAGTAGAAATTGCTTATGGAATCAGGCATTTGTTCAAATCCAAATTATTTCCCAAGAATGCATGCAAAGTTCTTCTTGGAACCAACCAGCATGAGACTGTTTCTTTGGTCACAGTTTCAAACTATGTTCAGGCCAGCAATTTGCCTGAAAAGCTTCTCTTCTTTGTTCTCAGCACCCTGCTTGTAGTCCTTTGTTTACCATCTGCCTGGCTTTTTAATCTCTTGAGTACTCTTTTTGCCTTTTCTCTGGAAACTTTCCTTGCCCCCCGCCCCCCACCCCCCACCCCAGCATGCATGTCTCTACCAAACAATTCTCAGCTAAGCTCTGTTTCTGATCTGCTCCATATGTGGCCTACATCTTCGGCATAACTTCTGTTTCACATTTATTAATCAAGGAGCTTGCAAGCTTTTTGTATCTCTTGAATGAGGACAGGGATGTGCCCATGACAGAGAGGATTTACTTTTTCTGTTCCCATTAGCATAGGGAAAGAATTTTGTTGCACTGGCCACTCTCATGCATTTTGCAGGGGTGGATTCCTGCTTGGCATCCACAGCATCTACACAAACTGTCTGAATATCCTGAGTCCCTGGGTAATATGCACAAGGGTATGCCCCACAACTTCTTCAACTCAGAGACCAAGACTTTAGGTCTACTGTACCACTTCTTGGCCAGGTACAGACATTACACTTTTACCAGAATAAGTGATTGGAAACTGGTCTATACCTGTAACAGAACAGAAGTTTGGGTCATGTAGACTGCTTTAAAAATGGTGGAACCCAGCTAAGATTTTCCCTTTCTCCTCTCCCCCCACCCCAGCACCCGGCCCCTTGACCTCTAGCCAAAGGGGGAATGTGTGTTATGTTCACTACTAATCTAAGCTAAGTCACTTACAGAAAACCTTGTAACTGAGACCGATCCCACCTTGGGCTTTTTGAATGTTTGTACCTAGCTCTCATCTCTGGGACTGCATTAGTGAGGAAAAATGGGCTCAGCTCTTAATGCAAATTTTTCCCTTTAAGGACACAAATGTGACCAGAAGTGAATTGTTAGAGGCAACCAGCTTTTGTAAAACACAAAAGCATGCATTTGGCAAGCGGGAATGCAGGGGGGAGAGTCCTTGCAATCAAAAGAGCTAACCCAAAACTAAGTAGAGTCAATGGGAGAGAATGGCCTAAGTGTCTGTGTACTATTGAGGTCCATGCTATGTCCCCTTTACAAGCCAGTTTGTCTCAGCTGGCCTTTTTTGATCCTCCTCTTTGCCACTAGTCCCTGAACGTTAATCACCAATCATTGGTGGTCCAATTATATTCACCCAAATGTTCCTTCCTTGGGTAAATACCCTTAATTCAATTCCTGATGGCCAATTCTCTACCATGCCAGGCAGTGAAGGTGTACAAACCAGTATTTCACCCTCTCCTAGGTCAGGGAGAAAGTTAACTTGTTCCCTCCCAGCATAAAACAGCATCCAGTCATGGCAGGAAAATCAGGACATGCAAAATGACCATAGAAATATGACAAAAATGTCATGCTTCTTTTTGTAATAGGGGTGCATTATACATGGGTAATATATTCTGCATGGTAATATGTCACGCTTAGCACATACACAATAATAGGATGGGGTTTGCTGCTACATGTACACATGTATCATAATCATTCTTGATTCCCAACTATTTTTTAGGTGGTTAAATTCTGCAATAAACACAGTCATTATGAAAAAGCTACGAATATGCAGAACAAAATGTGTAACTACAAAAGCACATGGGAAATAATTATGAACTCTATTGACTTCAGCAACTCCTTGCCAATAAACAGCGCTCATCCTCCATTTGAATCATAGAATCATAGAAGTAGGGTCGGAAGGGACCTTGTAGATCCCCCGCCTGGGCAGAAGAAAAGACTGGACTCAAATGAGTCCAGCCAGGTAGTCATCAAGCCTCTTCTTAAAGATCCCCAGGGTAGGAGCCAGCACCACTTACCTAGGAAGTTGGTTCCAGCTACTAGCCGCCCTAACTGTGAAGCAGTTCTTGCGGATGTCTAATCTAAACCTACTCTCTAATAATTTGTGTCCATGTTCCTTGTCATGCCAGGGGGTGCTAGGGGAAACAGTGTCTCCCCCAAACCCTTCTGGTCCCCCCTAGTGAGTTTATAGACAGTCACCAGACAGACAGACAGAGCCCTCTTTTGTACTGTTACAGGCCAGGGACAGAGTAGTCTGTCTAGTGCTGGGTGTTTCTGGGAGTATGGGTGGTATAAGTATGACTACTTTATAAATAATTTTGAGCATAAATGCTTAGAAATGGACATAGATATAAAATGGCTGATTTATTATAAAACTTTCTTAGTCAATATTTCAGTTATCAGGTTTATTCTTTTAGGACGCTTGGGGCTGCTATAACTAACCATGGGTGCAGAAGTGCAACTCCCCCCTGTCACGGATAACACTCTGCCAGAAGCTTTCTGCGTTACCATGATCTCCTGGAACAAACAGAAGTTCACAGTTGGTTCCAGGAGGGAGGGGAATCTAGATGCTGGCTGGGATCCTGCAGCCAGTTTCCCCTACAGTGTTGCCAGGTGTACGATAATTATCATATTTGTACGACAATTTCAACCCTTGTATGATGTACAATCAACAACAGTAAAAGTGTTCAACATGTACATTAATACTTGAGCCAGCTAATTGATGCAGTGTATGCATAACCCAAGTCATTCCCAGGGAGTCTTAACTGACTTGTGGGTTTGCTGTCAGCACTTTCTTATCACTGCTTGCTTTGAAATAAAGAAATTCTTCAACTTTGATGACCCAGTTAGCAAGGGTGAAAGGCAGCAGAAGGAGCTCATTCTTGGGGCTCCCCAGCTGGTGTTCAAGGGTAGGGTGGGTGAATTAGAGCCCCATGGTGGGGTGGGGCAGGGGGGGAGAGGGGAAGGCTCCAGTACACCTTCCCCGACCCTGCAGTGCGGGCGAAAAAACCCCAGACCAAACCTCCTTGACTCGCTTTCTCCCCTCCCATTCTGAAAACAGCTTGAGGCTGGCAGGCAGCACAGACAGAAGTTACAGAAGAGGATCTGTTTTGAAATATCTTCATCTGACCCCTCATTCAATGAGGGGAGAGATTTTCACCCAGTCGGCCATTTTTTAAGTGATCTGCAGCCATACACTTGTGTTTGGTGTTTTACTTCCACCAATAAAGAAAACATAAAGATACGAGTTTCATGATGTGTTTCCAGAATGCTTCTTTCTAAAATTATTTTCAACCTCAAGATGTAATTTGTATGTATCAAAATAATGAAATATTTAACCTTCATCTTTGTGTCATGCTTAGGAATGGAGAATTTGGGTTATCATAATGTGGTATTATTTATTCAGGGAAATGTGCTTTTCTTAATGAGTTTTTTAAAATTTAGCATAACTTGCATTTTGTATATGCCACTGACGGTCACATAAGTCTTAGAAGAGGGTATTTAAAGGGACATGAACCTCAATTAATACCCTAAATTTAAGCATATACTTTTATGTATGTAAATAATCTAAAGCGTACATAGAAATGTTATTCATATGAACTGCATAAGTGTTAATTTTTTTATCATGTATCTTTGCTTTTTTCATTTGCCATTATTTCATCTCTTGGAATGTATTCTTACATTATAACCCACCAATGGGTATTGTATTTAAATTAACCTATATATTCACCTTTCAAAAATATGTTGATGCTTAGGGGATATAAATTGGTAGATGAGTTCAAATGATTTCTAGCCAGTTTAGCAAACTGTTTATTCTTGAGTGGCTTCTGGAAAGAGCTCTCAGAAGTAAATTGAGGGAGTTCTCTTTATTCTTGGTATACACATGGCTCACCATTAACTGATCCCTTCCAAACTGAATATGCCAGTAATCTTCCTCTCTTGCTTGAAATGTGTACTATACGAGGGTCTAAAAGTTTATAAGCACCCTGTTTCTCTGTGCCATCATTAATAGTAGCAATATGATGGTTTGGGAAGAGTTGGTTTCAGGCCTTAGCATAACTATACAATTACAATATAGTGATATACTACTTACAGTTATATTATTCACTAAAAGTTATTCATTAAATGTGATCTTCTGTTCTGATCATGAAAGAAAACATCCTGACAACTGACATTTTTCAGTCTGGAAGACTGTAAGACTGGAATAGCAGTAGTGGAAGTACAAAGACAGAACAGCATGGGAATTCACACACAGACCAGTGCTATAAGCATTTTACTCTTATTTACATCAGATTCACCTCCAAGCTATTAAAGGACAAAATACCCCAATAAGAGTTACAGCTAGACATTCCCATCATCTCTAAGCCTCATGCAGGACAAAAAGAGAATTCTTAAATAGGTCAAGAATAATAGCAGTTAGCTGGACGTAGAAAGAAATATTTGTCAGAGTAAATATTTTCCTTTTCAGGGCTTCAGTAATCTGTTCAAATATTTGCATTCAAAATCATGACACACTAAAACTCACCATTTTTTGAAGGCATGGATACCTATAAAACAGAGACCTAGCCTAGTCCCCCTGTGTGATGGCATAATTCTTCAGGTCTACAATAATTTTACTAAAATAAATATGGAATATGAATATTTTTACTAGGAATACAATCCCAGTATCAGAACATACAGTTTTACTGTTACCTGCGAGTGACACTTCATGATAGAAGGATCTTCTACAACCACCTAATTTGGAATGAACAGACATTTAGATAATGTACAGGGTAGTTGGTGATACTGAGATATGGGCATTTGTCTAATTTTCCATATTTCCCCCCAAATCTCTCATGTACTTTTTATCAGAAACATTTTGATTTCTCATTATCAACTGAACAACAGCTCAAGATCAATAGTTCTTATTCAGTATCTTCTCCCCTGAATATCTCTGACAATTCTAAGTATTTTCTTTTCATCACATACAGCATAATCGGATTACATGACTCTATCAGGCTGCAGAGATGTTCCTGCTGCAGATTATTGAAATCGGCTCCTGGGCTGGAATTGTCACTTTCTCATCTTCAGCAACAGTTCAAACTTACCTACAACAAATAGTCAGTGAGAATGTGCACCCGGACCTTATTAAACACCTGCCTACAGGAGCTGGTGGAGGAACTAACATCTGTGCAGGCGTACAGCAAGGATTTCAGGTGAAGAATGTTGCGGGGCTCTACCGGGAATACAGTAACAGAATTAGAGATATTGGTGGATAGGCAATGGACCAAGAAAAATGAGAATGATTCAGAACTTGGAAACTCATAACATGTTATGAAAATCATGCCATGGAAAATCATGACTTGGAAAATAATGACATGACTTAAGAAGCTCAATGCATTTAGTTTAGCAATCACAAGGTTAAGAAATGTCTCTCTAATGGCATACATGGGGAAGAAAAGCCTGATTTTTCTCTAATATAACCAGCAAAGGTATTAATAGTCCCAATGACTGGAAACAGAAGCCACACAGATTCAGACCCGAAGTACAGTACCAGTGGTGAGGAACGTGAAGGGAGTACTGCAAAAACTTCATTGTGTGGCAGATTCTCTGTCACTGAGAAGATATCTACAAGGCACAATGCACCCCATTAATCCAGGCTCTCTGTTCATCTTGGTCCTCATGCTAGTACTTTTGGAGCTAATGTAGTTAACTTTATGTATCACAGGATGGCACTATGTAGATTTACAGTAGTTTCAAAATCCTAAAATCAAAACCGGACAGCTTTCTATACGTTAAGCAATAGCGAAAAACAAAAATTATGGATTTGATTTGTGTTCCTGAATGAGCTTCTGTGGCCTGACTATGAAGGATGTTAGTCAAAATGATCATAATGGTCTGTTCTAGCTTTACCTTTCTATGAAGGATGACAGTTACTTTTAGCACCTTGTCACTTTGTCAGCAGATGATATTTTTCAACCATGTTGAGTAAATCCTGTAAGATTGCTTTGTAGAGAATCAAGGCACCTTGCAGAAATGAAAATCATGGAATTTTTAGGTTTGAAACTCTAAATTTAATCTTTTAGTGTTGGCATCAGCCAAATTCTATTCTGAAAATCAGTTTTGTGAAAATGGAGGGTACATGTGCCACATGTTTTCTGTGTAAATTCAGTCATATTTTATGACCTTGGTAACAGAGAAAATATTTCAACTATGTTTAACTCCAGCGACTGGAGAGAGAACTGGATTCTGCCCTACTCATCCTGGGTTGTGCATTCTCATGACAATGTTAGTTGAGTCCCAGTTACAAGAGTTAATTCGGACTGGAGTTATACCGCATAACCCTACTGAGGATAAGTGGATTGCAGAGGTGTAAGTGGAGACAACATTTGATTGTAAATATACTTCTTGCTTGAGCTGACAGACAAATAAAAAATGACTATAATTTGACTTTCAGATTTCAGTGTCAGTACTGAACTATGAGAGAGAAAAGCTATTGCCTTAAATTAAAATAGGACTTGGCTCACCATATTTTTTTTGTAAATGTGATCTGCAATTATTGAGTGACAACAAACAGAGGAACCTCATGTGCTGCTGGTACAATCCCCCTCCCCTGAATGAGTGAACTGTATAATGCAGGCAAGATAATGCAAATGTGTTCATGTTGGCTGATATCCCCTCCTCTCCAGAAAACTTCCCATTTGCAAGGAAAGGGCTTTGCCTTGAAATAAACTTAAGGCAATAATTTTCCTTAACTCACATGTTAACTGTTAGGGAAGCTGATAGTTGCTAATGATGTTCCACTGCTAATGCTGTGGATCCTCTTCTCAATTTAGGTGATTAATCAAAGTTCTCAAACACAGATGGGTCTGAAATTGTGCTGCTGACCAATGGAGAAGACAGTACTATGAGCAGTTGCCTCGAGGTGAGAAGTAGTGGATCAATCATTCACACCATTGCTTTAGGGCCACAGGCAGCCCCCAAACTAAAAGAATTTTCAAAAATGACAGGTAAATACTTTTCTAATGAATCCTGCTTTGGCATGCATATTTCAGTGATGAAACGCAAAAGCAAAGCACATTTTAGCTTGAAATGTAGAAAGAAAATGAACTTAATTACTGTATTCAAGGGTCATTTGTAGAATGATTTACCCTGTTCAAAGCTGATTTATAGAATGTTCATTTGTATCTCAATAAACCTCATAGGATTTTGTTTTACTTGCCTTTGATTAGAAATAGCAATATGGCAGAGCAGTGGTTCTCAGCCTCTTCAGGGTCATTGCACCCCTCCACTACTTCTTGGAAGGTAGTGGCATCCCAAGCCACAATTTACCTTAGTGCTTCTCAGCTCGGTTATTCTGCCTCCAGGTAAAAATTCCCTGTACCTGCACCTGCGCTGTAGCAGTGCAAAAACGGCTATGGTACGTGGACGTGGTACTGCTGCATCAGGGCTCCGATCAACCTAAAGCTGGCAGGAGGAGCCTGTAACAGGAGGTTTCTAGTAGGGCTGTGCGAAACAGCACCATTTTGTTTCAACTTCCATTTTGCCATTTCAAAGGGGCAGAGTTTTGGTTTTTCTGTTTCGAAGCACTGTTCCGTTTCATTGAAACTGTTTCGCTGTTTTGACACGTTTTGACATTTTGCCTATAGGCTATAATGGGGAATCATGAAAATGCCTATAACTTTGTAATTTCTTGTCTGATTCATAAGAAAATTGCAGGGATGGTAACCCCTTCTGATGGCATGACACCTGCCAAGTTTCAAAGAGATAAATGCAGGGAGCTTTGTGAAGCTGCACCACAAACTGTTCAAAGGGCTAGGAGGGAGACTCCTACTAGGGCAGGGCGAAGGCACTGCACTAAGCTAAAAACAAGCAGCAACTCCTATGATGGTGTTGATGTGGAGTGTTGCCAGGGCCCCTGCCTGGCAGGGAGCAGCCTACCCGGGGCTTATCTGAAGCCTCCACCCAGACAGAGCCCATGGGGGAGCTGGTGTCCCCCCCCCCCGGCCTGCGGGGGTTGCCCAGAAAGGCCCGGGGGGTCAGGGATTGGGGACCCCCACACCTGTCCTGCAGGCACCTTCCTTAGGGCCCTGGAGGTGCAGGTGAGGGAGCTCCAAGAGGAGGTTAGCAGGCTGAGGGGCATCAGGGAGGTAGAAGAAGAAACTGACAGCTATTTCCTTTCCCTGCAGGGCCATGCACCCAAGGAAGAAGCACCAAGGGAAGTGCCCTCCACTGCAGAGTGGCAGACGGTCACCTCCAGAAACAGGGCTGCTCATAACACAGCAGTACCAGTTCCTCCAGTCCGGCTGGAAAACAGGTATGAGGCCTGGCAACACTGGAGGAGAAGGAGGGAGAGGAGGCAAGCAGAGAGGAGGCAACTCCACACTCTCTACGCTCCAAACAGGCCGAAGGAGCTAAGCAGTCCCAGAGGACAAAGCGTTGAGTGATCGTCATAGTCGACTCCACCCTGAGAGGTACAAAGGGCTCCATCTGTCGCCAGGACACCTTGACACACGAGATCTACTGCCAACCCAGAGCAAAGATTCATGACGTGATGGGGATGACCCAGGCCATGATCCATCCCACTGATTACTACCCCATGGTCCTAATCCATGTGGGC